AAAAAAATAAATAAATAGAAATCAGGCAGATAAAGGAGCATGGAGGGAGAATTCTAGTCTGAACAAAAGGTGCAGAAATAGAATTATGCAATGTTAATTTGAGGGAATAGACATATTAGAGTAAGGCCACAGAGCTGAAAGTAAAAAAATTAAATGAAAGAGAAGAAAGGCTTTGGAGTCTCAGAGCTGGATTCAAATCTCAGCTCCCAGATACTATTTATCAGCATGACAACCCCAACAAGTTACTTGCCTCAGTCTCCTCGCCTGTAAAGCACAGGTGATGATGACATCTGTTCCCAGGGATGTAAGGAAGATTAGAAGTAACATGCTGACACCATGCTTGGCACATAGTAGGCAGCTAAACATAGTAGCTATTATTTAATGTAAGTTAATCGACCTTTCCATGCCATACATAAAACTCTCCTCATCCGGTAGCATGCAATACTTTAAGCCTATTTGCATAAATAGGATACCTGGTACCACATTACAGCTGAGTCGCAGGTGGACAGAAGTGTACTATTTTTCCAACCTTTCTGTAAGTCTAAAATTTTGTTATCGGGTTTAGAAAAACAAAGGCAGCTTTACAATGAGGTTTTCCCTGAGCCTAGTACATACACCCTCTGGCCCACCCAGCATTCCCTACCAACTTTTCTAACTTTATTTTTCACAATACCATGTATTAATACGTGACAGCCTTTGTATCTTATTTATTTTCATTGTTTATCAGGCCTCACTTCATGAGGGTAGTAGTTTTGTCTAATTTGCTCACTGCTGTGTCCCCTGTGCCCTCAAACAGTGCTTGCATGGTGCCCAATAAAGGTCTAGTAAACAAGCAATGACTTGGACCTTCCCTGAAGAGGGGAGGGGCCTCGAGGAGCACTGGTCATGAGAAACACTAGGATTCACATCTACTAAACATGGCACGTCTTCATTTGGTAAGAAAAAGAATGTAAGAAATGATCCTGCAACATCAATTCCTGACCATAAGTCTAAGCAGACACGGGCAATTTAGCTGTTGTGGCACATTTTATGGGTGCAGATTTATTCATAATATCATAACTGATTGAAGCTAAAACAAAACTGAGCAAAGAGAAAACCAACCAACAAACCTGCAGTTAAGAAATCACATTGAGTGGCTGAGCCACAGAAAATAGAGAGGGGGCAAATGTTGGAAAACCAAAGTAAATCTAAGGGTAAAAAGGCAGAAATATTCACATAAATCTAACACTATTTGTGGATTACCAGTAACAAAGATGGTAAGAGCCAAGCTTTCATATTTAAGGAGAGTCCTTTCAAAGAAGTCATATAGTTCTCTACGAGCAGTATAACCTTTTTCAGAGATTGTTTTTAGGCTCTCGCCCTCCGTGCAATTTTCTCTCTGCCTAGTAGTTCTCAGGTTGCACCTGTGTGGTGCTAACTCTGCACTGGAAGGCTCCAGGACTATACAAATCAAATACTGCTGGGCTTTTCTAACCTGAGGGAAAAAATTATACTGACAGATGCAATTTGCTCAATTTTAAGCTTAAAAAAATAAAGTTTCTTAAACTTGGGACACTTGTTACTATTTTACAGTATAATCTGGTATAATATGGCATTTACATGGTACAAAACTAATTTTATATTTAAAATGTTAATATTTCATAGTGTCAGGCTAATGGAATTTGAAAACTAGTCTTCCTAACTATGTGGCCTTGGGAAAGTTATATAACTCCTCAGTGCTTCAGTTTTCTCATTTGTAAAATGAAGATTGATAACAATACAACCTCAGAAGGTTCTGTGAAGATAAAATTAGTTAACAAATGGGAGACAAATAAAAAGTGTCTTGCACAGAGAGAGTACTTAATAGCTGTTTGTTGCTATTAGATTAATAATATTTTATAAAAGGACACAGTGACTTCTCTATGGACTCTGTCACTGAAATAATTCTAAAATTCTGCCTCATGCTGATCTAATTATGTATAACTAAACTATCTAGTTGGAAAATAAAAATCTCTGCAGTATTAGTTTTCTCTCCACTCCATAAATTGCTTGACCTTTTCCCATAGCATATTTATAACATGCCAAACTCTTATATTTGTAAGCTGGAGAAATTTGTGTAAATATACTATTCTTCAACGCAGTCATAGTTTTTCATTACATTACATTGTATTATTAAGAGTATAATCTAGTCTTGAAAGTAGCTTTTTGCTCCCATTCTCCAATCTCAAAATGTTAGGGTTCCATGGCTAATACCAAAGACATTTTGCTGATGCTGTTCAGGATCACCGATGGCCAAGCACATAATACCAACATTGAAATTCACACTTTCCTTCAAATTTAATTCTCTGCGATATAGACCGATTTCTTCCAGCTCTTAGGCCTCGTAGTTCTGCTCTGCCATTCATCACCCGAATGACACTGGGCAAGTCACTTAACACCACCAAACCTTGATCCACTCATCTATACAACATAACACCTGTCCATGCATAGTCACAGGATCATGACAAGATTCCAAAGGCAGTTTTTAAAAACTATATTTCTTTATTTTATAGGTTATTTTAATAATAATGCAGGCCATCTAAGAAAAATTAGTCAAGGCTGTTTATTTAATAATAATTCACAAGTTGCTATTTGCTGTATTTTAAAGTATTTGTGACTCAGCAAAGAAGGAATTATCACATCTAATTAGAGGCATGATATAATAAATAGGGCTTCCACCAACCTGGCCATTTGCTTGTAAGCTTCTTCGGCTACTGCAAAGATATGTGGATCCATATCACCCATGTTCTGACCACTATAGGCATTAATAATATCTTCTCCATAAATAGGCAGCTGCTCGTAAGGATTTATAGCTACTAGGACTATACCTGGGGAAAGGGGTAAAAAAGCAGAAGTCAGTGATATCCTAAGGAGCATGTCAAATTTGTTAAAGTAAGAATCACAGTTAACACAAATTTCAAGGTCAGTTGACACCGAACTAACAAATTGTTAAGGATCAAAATATGTCATGGCCTTTGCCTCTGAATCCATTATACCTCATCCTAACTGCAGCACCATTTAAAAGCTGAACTAGGTTATTTAAAATAATGAAAATTGTGGCACTGTTAAAAGAACTTTAAATATTTTCATAATATTTAAAAATTCCACTTCTAGAAATTTATGCAAATGAAATAATCATGCAAAGGGTTTTATTTTTCAATAAAGATGTTTATCACAATGCTATTCATAACAGTGAAAAGTAAAAACAAACAAAATATATAGTAAAGAGTGCTTAAATACATTTTGTTATATCCAGATGACAGACTATTTTGCTACCACCACAAATCACGTTTGTAAAGAATATTAAATGTCATAGGAAAACATGACACAAAATTATATAGAGACTGATTCCAATTTTATATCTATTTATACTCTCTCACATATACACACATATAGGAAGTAAGTCAACATGATATTGGTTATTTTTCAGTGGTGAATTACATGTAATTCTTTTCCTTTTTATATTTTTTTGTATTTCCTTAAATTTTACAGTAGGTATATATTAACTTATTGAAGTCATTCAATCAACAAATATTTTTTTCATTTCCAACTACATTTCAAGTATAAGTGCTGGGTTTACACAACAGTAAACAAAAAAAGACAAATCTTTATTCTCATGGACCTTATCATATTCTAGTAAGAAATTCAAACAATTAATAAGAAAAAATATATGTGATAGGTTAAATAGTAGTAAGGAAAAAGGAGAAAAATGAAACAGAGAAGGGAGACAGATACTAAGAGGACAAGGAGTTTATGATTTAGATGGGAGGGAGGTGCGGAAGGGAGGCTTTACCAAGAAGGCAACATGTGTGCAAGAAAAAAAAATTGAAGAAAAATGAAAATAGAGAAAAGGAAATACTTAGTTAATAGATAGGGGAGGAAAATATTTACTATCAAGGATATAAAAAGATATAAATTCTTTGAAGAAGAAAAAATATCTGTCCCTGTCCAAAACAGAAGAGTAATGAAGAAATGATAGCACTGAGTTGGGTATACCAAGCAAATAAACTTAGAGGAAAATGAATGGAAATCTTGAATCTGAGTTTCAGAGAAGAATGATTAGTGAATGAAAAATAAGAAGTCAGTAGAGGAAAAAGAGCCAGCGATGAGAGAGAAAATAAAGGATAAGAAGAAAACAGAGAAAGAGAGAAAAAAAGGAAGAAAGAGGGAAAGGAACCCAAATGTACACACATGTGCATGCTTAACTTCTAAGAGGGAGAAAGAGAATCCTGAGCTGTGTCCCTGGCAGCTGATACTGCAACAAGCAGGGGCCCAGGCAAGCAGAGCAAGTCAAGCCAGTCCTGCTTTTCTAAGCAATTGAGAAAAAGGGGACACTAAATTTCTCGAACCAGCCCCAAGGATAAGTCTTTGGACATCTACTCTTCATGTAGTGGTTTTTGTAAGAAATTAAAAAAATAACTGGAAATTGGCATTGAATTTGGCATGTGACTTCTGGGGCGTGAAGGGGGAATCCAAAAGATGGGGACCAGTCCTTTTTATTTTGAGAAAATTATGTAAGTTCACAAATGAGCTTATTCAGCATAAAATGGAACTAGCTAGTGAACACTGGTAAGTCTTTTTGGTAACTCTGAAGTGAATTTGTCTCTAAGAGAAAATCCAACCAGTCTTCTTTCCCCCTGCACAATATATCCAAGGCTATGTCCATTAGAGGAAAGAGTCCACAGTCCACTCAGACAGCAGGGCACACTTACCACAATATGTGTAAATAAGCTTGGAATCAATAAAGCGGACTCTGAGATTGTGGAGCACAGCAGGCTCATGAAGATAGCTGAGGGCTGTGAGGTCATTTTCACCCACAAGTATGTCAGGGTTTCTTAAGTGAGGCAGTTCCTTGGTCTTTGGATCTAGACGATATTCCAAATCCTGAAAATGCACAAGATACAGCATACGGATAAATCATGGCAATAAACATGGAACAGGCCCATGAATTTTGCTTATTTCCTATTTCTAATTTGCTTTTCAGCTATTAAACACATTCTTTTCCTGGCATCTTCCAAAACCACATAAACTGATGGAAATGGCAAAAAATAAGGATAGTCTTTTTTTCACTAGATGTATTTACTCATATTAACAATTTTTGCTAATATAGTTTCAGAAGTCATAGCCTAGACTTTTTTTACCCAGTTACTGGACCAGAAGTTTTTAATCTTTATTTAAGCTTTTTTTCTCTTCACCTGTGATAAGTGAAAGGCAGTAATACAGAGTAGTCAAAACCTTGGCTCTAGAGTCAGATCTACCTGGGTTCAAATCCTAAAACTGATATTTATTTCTTTTGTGGTCTTAGGTATGTTATTTAACCTAAATCCTTTATTTGTAAAAAGGCAATAATAGAAACAGTTCACAGGGGTATGGTAAAAATTAAATGAGGCAACACCTGGCACACGGTAAATACTTGGGAACCCCTAAATCCCAAAAGGTCCAAGAATCCCCTGATATTAGGTATATGTCTATATTTGTCAATATACACACATATGTGTACTTTTTTTGAAAGACAGCCCAGTTTTCATTTGATTTTTAGTGAAGTGCTTGGCCCAAAAGTTAAGAAGTACTGCTCACTTTAAAGCCATGGGAATATGGCTTTATAGCAAAGCCAAGCATGGAAGTGCCAAACAACTATGTGTTAAGGGCAAATAACATACAAGTGAAATGGGGAAAAAAATGCAATTTAATTGTGGGGAGAGATAAGCTAGTTTTGTAAAAAGCCACTTTAGTTAATACTGAAGAGATAATCAGGGGTCAAATATTCAGATCTGGTCTAAATGAGCTATGCTAAAAGGGAGAAATTTTACAATCTGCCCCTCTACCTCTCTCTGCCTGTTTATTGGGGCATAATGTCCTTCTCTAAAGCTAACTGATCCTTGCATTGGCCCCTGCAAGACACAAAAGCCAGTTCTGGTTGTGCGATCTCAGGCAGAACTATTGATACTTCATGTCTCTGAGCCTTGGTTTCCTTATTTGGAAAATAGTTCTAATACCACCTACAAACCCAAAGCGTTGCTGTGAGAATTAACCTAAGAAAATATAGGCCAAAGTTCCTAACGTGTTACCTAACACAGAGTAGATGACCAATATGTGTTGAATAAATTAATTCCCTAGTTTGGCATTCAAGGCCCTCCTGATCTTACCTCATTCTTTCCTGTCTTCTTCCCAACTAAACTTCTTGCCCCTGTGTTGCTGTCCTGAAAGTCATCCTCCGTGGAGCCACCAATGAGTCCTTTCTAAAACACACACCTGGTACCCTTCCCCGGTTTATAAACACTACCATCACTCCCTGTAGCATACCAGCTGCAGTCCAAGAGTTTCAGCATGGATACCAGGCCCTCTGTGGGCTGGTTTCCACCCTTATCCTCTTGCAAGTTCACTTTACATCACAACAACATGGAACTTGGGTAGTTCCCAAAACGCACAAGACTGTGCATGGCTCTGCCTTTGCCGGTGTTTTTCTGGATCCCGGAAACACACTCCCCCTCGTCTACTCATTTTTTCAGACAACGCCTCCCCGACCCCTCACCTTCACCAGCCCCCTGACCACTCCCCGCTCTGTCCTACTTCTGTTCCTTGTTTATATTTATTATATCATGGGCCACACTTTTCGTAAATATATCTGTTTCTCTGACCTGACATTGATGTCGGAGAGCATACCTTTTGCCACCTCTTAACGTGGAATCCAGCAGGTACCTTAATACACAAGCCTTGAGCTAGAACACAAACCTTTCTAAATCGCTGCTCCAGTTAACTTGTTATATTCATGATCTCCAAAAGACAACCCTCACAGGTTCTACCCCCTGTTTCTTTTTCAATCCAAATTCTACCTACCTTTGAAGACCCAGTCAAAATCCTTCCTCCTCCTTAAAGGGTTTCCTGACAAAGCAGCCCACAATGAATTTCCCTCTAAAAGGAGTTATAGCAAATAAAGCACTTAGAATCACGCCTGTGTGACATGCCCTGTCAAATGCAGTGAAGAAATTAAAATTGGTGGAGCTAAGATGAGTCCACTCATGTAGTGAATGGAGACATGAAAGCATAGAGACACAAGTGATTTTAAGTTCTTTTGGTCATTAGCCAAGTGCTTATATATGAGAACTTCTCAGTAAATGTTTCTCAAGTGATTAATTCCAGCAAATATCAAATCTCAGACTGGCTTCTTCAATGTTTTCTTAGTTAAGAGGAAAACATTCTTGTTAGCCTCAACAAAATACACATACACAGGCATGTTTGGGAGGATTAGATGTGAATCTGAACCTAATCATAATAAATTCATGGACTAAAATAATGGCTTTTTAAAGTATCTGCTATTTTCACAAACTCATTTGGAATAGAAAATTGTTTGCCATGTTTATCAGTCAGTAAGTAAAAAACATTAACCTCCAACTGAAGTCAAGTATGTCACAGCAAAGTTACAATTTGAATTCCCTTCGCTTTATGCTGATAACAAATACAAGCAAAATGTTTACCTTTCCTTCCTCAAGGTGAAGCAGGAGGACTTTATCTCCTGGCTTATAATCTTTGAGCAGCTCTGCTGACTTCCAAACTTCTTCGGGATCAGGTATCCAAACTCTGGCAAACTAGCAGATGGGAAGGAAAAGAATTTTAAACTAGCAAACCAATTACTTCATAATGATATGTAAAACATATCATGGATTTATTTGTAACTAAATAATTTATGAAAAATAAACCTTGGCCAATATGAAATTTAATTTTTAAATTAGTAGGTGAAAAATTTTAGCCCCAGTAGTGGCACCATCGAGCCCACATTATATAAAAAATATGCTCTGTGTTGTGAAATAATTTCACAATATGTGCAAGTCAAATCACTATGTGTGATTTTACTTTAAACTTATACACTGTTGTGTATCAACTATATCTCAATAAAACTGGGAAAAAGTATGCTGAAGAAATAGCTACAGTGAAAGTATGGTTTTGCTTGGTACAGTAAATGCTACCTGAAAATGTAATTGAGGTTAAAATGTGCATGTATTAATAAACCTATTTTTTCACAGACTTTCATGGATTTCAAAACATGATTTTGAATCACTGGTGCAGTAGCTCTGCCAGTTGCAGCAGCACAGCTATCTTTTTATGGAAGGATTTACAACTTGAATTTTTATTGTGGTTTTTCATTCTGTGCTGTGCAAAGCCTTAGTGATTGCTGAGGTGTTCTGCAGGGGCCAGTATGGTGTGGAGGAGAGGAGAGGAAGCCTGTGGCTTCACAGCTGTTTTACATACTAGGCATCTGGAATTGTCTTTAAACATAGTTCTGTTTACTAATAAAAAAAAAAAACTGAGAAAGTATTGTTGTCTAGTATTTTGCTTCATTATTTTATAAAGATGAGTGAAAATGGTAAAAATGGAATATTTGGTCAGCAATAAGTTTCGCTCTTGTAACATCAATATCATGAAAGAAGTATGGCAATAACGAGGGGTTCCTGCAGCAGCAAATTCTTAGCCTCAACTAGACACTCTGGTCTTAAGCCAATTTTGGACTTCTGGTCAATGTTGAAGAAAAAGAACAAAATACATGAACATGAATGATTCCTCCAAACACCGTGTTGAAGAGATGTTTTATGATTTCTTGGATTCCTCAGGAACGAGTCTCCCTTTAAAACACAGGTACACTAAACCATGATGCCCATTTTCAGGGCTATGTCACATACGAAAATACCACCACCACCACCAGCCTTTCTCAACTTTACTTTCTTCAGAGCTCTTATTACTGCCTGAACTTATTTACTGTTATTTCTTGCTTGTTTACTTATTATTTCTCTTCTTTCATTAGAACATAAGCTCCATGTCTGTCTTGCTCCACACAGTATACAGGGCCTGTGTACCTGGTGTACAGCTGGGTGCTTGGTATTTGTTGAAAGAATCTCAGAATAAAAGGCATCTCCTTAAATTGAATTAAGTAGTATTGTAAAATAAACTCACCCATGGCTTTCTTTTTCTCTTATTATCGCAGACTCATGTAAACTTTTTGTCCCAGCAGTTGGCAGAGGAAACAGTACTGAACTAGGTTATGGGTTCTAACCCCAGGACGACCATGTTGGCCCTTTAGCCTTTATTTCAGGCACCTATAAAATGAGGATGACGGTCGTGCTCCTCTAGTTTATCTCAAGTGCTTATACACATAGAAGCCTCATGAAAAGCATAAACCAATATGTAAGCATAATTGTTACTGTTTTTTTCATAAGAAGTGATTGCTAATGTTATACGTCAAATACATTACTGAAATTTGTCTTTCAGTAACTTTCTTCCCAGTTACACAGTCCATAAACTGAGTGACATCTGTACACATTACTAAAATCTTACTCGTTCAATAAACATTTCTGTGTACCAACTGCTCCTACTCCAAAGCTCGCTTTAGAAAGCCAGTATTTCTGTAACTTTCTCTGGAAGGATTTACTGGCTCCAGAAAAGACATGTAATATATATGAGACTCAGAGTCCATGAAATGACCTACTATCCTGACTGATGAAAGCACAAAACAGCGAAATAGGTCCAAGTGAGTGTGTGGAGGCATGCCTGGCTCGCTCTAAACAAGAAGAGATTTTAACTAAATCTAGAAAGAAGTACCTTTGTGTTCTTTGTCCACAGCTCAGATTTTCACAAATATTTTGGAAACAGGAATGAGTAGATACTTTGCCAAAGGCTAGATTTCCAAGAGCTGGGTGTTCACAGCAGACAGTAGAGGGAGGTGAAAGCCCTGACACTCCACAGAGACAAGATACTTAAATACCAAACATCACCCCGATAACCAGCTTCCCCTGTATCCTAACTTTATTTCTTGGTAAAGTATCCAAGGAGAAATAGGTCAGAAATCAGCCTGTTATTACCATTGTCTTTTTATGGCTCCTCTCCATCTTTAACAGTGACTGCAGAAACAACTGTACCAGAACTGGGTCAGTTGGGAGGTATATATATATATATATACCTTAGTTGCTGAAACCCAGCAGAATCTCAACCTGACAACGCCCCTTCCTATTGCCTCTGTCACTTCCAGCCCTGCTTTGTACTCTTCCCCTAAGCCCCCTATGAAAATATACATGGCAGCCCTGGGAACAGGATTAAATTTATCCGGCCACATCCAGAGCAAAGATTATGGGAAAGAAGGCAAGGCCCTAAGATCGCATGGGAAATCTAGAAATGGGACATAACAGCAAGAGACAGGCAGGAATCACAAACAGGGGTGGACACACATACCCACAAGTCTGCTCAGGGGCTTCCTGGAGTAACAAGCCGTTAGCAAACAATAGCTCTACCCAAAGTGAATCAGACTGGACACAGCTTCCGGCAAGACAAGGGAGGGTCTGAGGTTGAGTAACTCACTCTTAGCTGGTAGAAGGTGGGCTTTCCTGCAATGCTCCTCATTCCATCTCTTTTCCATTCACATTGCTCCAGCTTTGTCCCCCATTATCTTGTGAGTCCCTCAAATATCTCACTCATGATACCTCAGACCTTGTTTTGGTTACTTATCGGTCTATGGACCTCCCACCTGAGACTGTATATCCTTAACTCACCTGGAACCTCTCTAGGGTTGATCAAGTTCCTTGCCCACAGCTGGTGGGCAGCACATTTGTGTTGATTTAAGAAAGAGGTAGGGCAAGGGAAGGAGGAAAATGGGAGAACTGGGATGAAAGGCAGCAAAGGAAACTTCACAGGCCTCCCTCAGGATTTTCCTGAAGCCACAAAGCACAGCTGAGAAGTGGGAGGAGTTGGAGACTTAGAGAATTGAGACTCCTGAACAGGCAATGAAAGAGTATATGCTGATATAGGAACTGGTAGGAGAAGGGAAAACACAGATTTGGGACATGAGGTACTGTCATGAAAGCTAAAAAACAAACAAACAAACAAACAAACAAAAAACTGTAGATGAAGAAAAGAGGAAAAAGGCTTAAAATGTAAACACATATCAAAGATTTATGACAATTTAAAAGAAGACCCGATTAGAAACAGAGTAGGGGCAAAATAGAGGTGGGCTTCATTTTATAACAGTCAAAACCTGAGAAAATAATGCTTGCACAGATTTAAGTTACATAATCGCTTGCAAGGAAAATAAAAACCATCTATCCTTCTGCAATACGATATAATGAGGTCTGCCTGGCAGAGACGAGGTAATTCTGACAGAGTCTAACGGAAGAACACTGGAAAGGCAGGTTCGGGGGATGTGCTTGCACTAGTGCTTGCCCGAAAGGGGCACTAAATAGAGCCGGCTCAGGCTAGTATGGCCCTCAGACCTTCCTAGGGGGTACACCCATCCCTGCGCCCTTACGGAGACACCAGTTATCTTCCTTTTTGCATCCTACCACAATGACAACACTCAAGAGCTCCTTGATTAGTGCTGATGACTCACTGGAAGCTTTGCTAACTTGCATTTTGTCAGTCAAGATTCCCTGAGATGGCACCAGGAGCAGCTGTTTGTGATGCCTCAGACACTCGGGAACAACACTGACAACACTAACAGTAAATGCCCGGTCCCTGAATCCCAAACCATCTGACCCATGTGATTCTCTCTTCCCCAAACTCCCACGTACATTATTTGCTTTTCATACAGCACATGTGCACACCTTTCCTAGCTCCCCCACTAAATCACAAGCAGCTTGGCAGCATGGAATCTACCTTGGTTTGTTTTTGATATCCCATTGTGAATATTTGCAAAAATGAATGTTTTACGTGACAAGTCAAACAAGCCTATAATAAAAACTAAATATCCCTCAAGGCTACAAACTGAAGCAGGAGAGATATACTGAATCATCAGTCCCCCTCCTCTGAGTCCTGACATTAACACAGATGCTCCACGTGGTTACTAAGTAACTCATACAACGCTTCTGGCATGTTTTTGATGTAAAAGATTCAGAAACTACTACTCTAAAGCACATAATGGGCTTTCCAGAATTTTTATACATACATACATACATACATACACACACACGAAGTATTTGTCGAACTGAAGAATGATATGATGAACTCCCATATACCCACCATTTAGGTTCAGAAATAGAACATTACTAATGTTAAAACTCCTCAGTGGAATATATTCTTAAACATTTCATTTTCCATCCATCTTTACTCATCACTATTATTCTCCAGTCATGCCAAACTATGGGTTTGCTGTACCCTGAAAAAGCTCTGCTGCCTCATACTTCTGTGCCTTTGGTTTAGTGACTTCCTCCATCTGGAACACAATCCCTCCTTTTTCTCAGCCAGCAGGCTCCTATCTATCCCTCATATCAGTGTTAAAGTACCACCTGTGTTAAAGGGCCACCTCCTCTAGGAAGGCTTTCCTGACTTCTCATCATCATTTGGCACTCCATTCTCAACGTCCCCATTACCTCATATAATCTTCCACTAGAATCCTTATCCCACTAAATGATGACTTTGTGTACCTATCTCCCTCTAGAGATTGGGAGCTCCTTGAGAGGAAGGGCGCATCTTCTTCATCTTTGTCTCTTCAGCACTTAACACAGGGCCTGCCTATAATAATTTCTTAATCAAGTTTTGTTATATGAATATCCTTGGCCTCAGATATTACACTGTAAGAGGTCAGACTAAAAGAAGTCGAGGCAAGAGGCTCGCAGAATCTTCTGAAAGGGTCTATAATTCCTAGAAATAAAGAAAGCTGTAAGCAACATTAGACTGCTGAGTTACGTAGGAAATCTTGGTGTGACAGAAAGAAAAAGAGCCAGGAATTTAGAGGGTAGAGGAAGTAACAAAACATCCTTTCCTCTGCCCCGCACACAAAGCCATACCTCAATCCCTTCATAATTTGTGCGTTCAGAGTGGAAGTTGTCCCTCACTTCTAGAACACAGAGCCCCACTCCCAACGCAACCAAAGCTACTCACTTTGAAGGCCAAAGTGTTGTGACCATCACTTCCACCAGTCATCCCCTGGAGCAGCAAAGCGGGGAACAGATGGAAAGAAAGGTAAGCCAGAGGGTTACAGCAGGGTGAGGGGACATACTAAAATGGGAGGAAAGAGAAAAGAAGGGATAGGGGTGAACACATGGTGCATTCTGGGTAAGGATGGTGAAGAGTGGAAGTGTCCTACGACCCTGCTGCATGCTATGGCTGAGCAAAATGGCAAACACCAACCTGCCTCATGGAACTTGACAAAGGTTGTGAGCAATGAGAGCTAACATTTGCTGAGTGTTTTCTCTGTGTCAGTAGAGGCCTAGGTATTATACATACATAATTCCACGCCATCATCACCATAACCCTATTACTAACCCATTTTAACAGATATTGAGGCTTAGACCTTAAAAGTGATAGCACTAGGGGTTAAATCTATGGCTACTCTAAAAGCCAAATACTCTCTCCACTCTACCACACTTCCCCCTTGTTAAAACAGTAGACTTCATGAAGAAGAAACTCCCTTCCTTCACTCCAAAAATGTTCCTCTTAGTATCATAATGGAAACAGCTATTTCACTGGTCCGTGTCATTAGGTGAGACTTAAAAATGCCTTATCTAAGACAATGTGTCAAAGCCACAGTGATCAGCCTGGCATCCATCCTGCAGTATACCAATTGGCTCTGATCACAGAAATGAGCTTAGGGAATAACAGCAAAAAGTAATCTAATGATAACCAAGGACTAACATTTTAATAAATGAATGATTTCAGGTTCATTCACTTCTATAAACAAACAAAGTGACAGGGTTAATTTAAGATTTTTAATTTGTTTGTAACTCTTGAAGTTATCCTGCATGCACATGGTTTAAAAATAAATCAAGTTCAAGTCAGCTTCCAGCAGACACTGGAATTATTTTAAATTCATAAAGAAAAGAACTTCAGGTTTTGTTACCATCAAGGAGCAAAAATTAAATAACCTTATTTCTCTAGAATTTTATGTGAGATGGCAGAGCTCTGGAATGAATATTTTTAGATACTGCAGTTCTGTAATATTCCTATAGATTATTTTCGGAACTAGGTCTCACTTTATAAGCACAGTCTCAATATACACATTAAGGAAAACTACTATTTCCATCTACAATTGGCTAGTGGGTACTTGAGGATAAATTACAAAATTCTAAGTAAGTAAAATAAAAGTAAAACAGAGTCACCATCTAAGAAAGGAATCATGTTGATCATTTTCATCACAATGCTTTTTGTTTGATTGGGATGAAGAATGCTCCTGCTTTCCTTTACTTAATTCTTGCAATATTCTTTACAATTGTTATTACTAAAGAAGTCCCTCACTCAACAAACAACCTAAGAGAGGTTAAATAACTGGCCCCAAAGCCACTCAGCAAATAAATGACACAGGCAGGATTCAAACCCAGGACGATCTCTGACCTCAAAATGCTTAGGATGTAGCGTATTAGGAAGAATAAAACAAATATAGTCCCAAAGATTCACTTTTTCCTGATTGTGACCCAAGCTGTCCAATTAAACAAAACAGCTCACACTTTCCTACCATTTTCAACACTTGCTCCTAATTTAGAGAAAAGTATAAAAAGGGATCATGTTAAATAGGTACAGGCTTCTGCTATAGATATTCTCTTCCTGTGCAGAATATCTATCACTCTGATGAATGAGTTGGTGTTAAAGAAATCATGGATAATTTTTAAATCTTAAATAAAATGTTTCAACATGGTAAAGTTTGAAGAAATCAGACAACACATGCGTTGTATGAAACAACACAGATAAGCAGGCACTAAGACGTAGTTCCTCTCATTTGTAACAGGTGGCTACCTTTGTTTTGCTCCCGACTTTGGGGACAGGCAGCTCTGGCTGAGATCATGGTCTGGTGCAAACTTAGGGGACATTACAGGTCTCTCATGATCTGGCCCCTGCCAATTTCTTCAGTCTCATCTCTCATCATTCGTGGCTTGCTCATGACCCTCTAACATCTGCAAACAACAACTGGTTCCTCTTTATCTCCCTCTCTTACTCACATTCTCCCCAAACCTGGCAAACCCTCTCCCCATCACCCATTTAGTGCCTATGTGTCCTTTAAGAGCCCACCTTTCAGCAGCATTTGATCACTGACCTTAGCAACCTACCTGGAATACTCTGCTTGGCTTCTGAGACACTTCATCCTCATGGTTCCCCTCTTACCCCTCAAATCACTCCTCCATTTCTTGTGCCAGGTCCACCTTCTCTATCCACCCTCTAAATGTTGGAATTGCCCAGAACTCTGAGATGAGCCTCTTCTCTCTTCTAATGTAATAGTAAGAGTCTGGGCTTTGTTGTTTCCCTGCTCTGTGGATTTCCTGTGCCTCATCTACAATGAGAGTAATAATAATGCTTACAACATTGAGTTCGCATGAGAATTAAATCAGTTAATATATATACTCAGAGCAGTGCTTGGCACATAGAAAGCAGTCAGTACATATTAGCCAACCTCATTCATATTGACATTATGATTATGATTAGAGATCACTATTGTTATTTTTATGTCAACATTGTATCCCACCCTCATGAGTTTAAATACCAATTTTTCTCAAATTTCTATTTCTGGCCCAGACCTTTCTATTGAACTCCAGACCCACAGACTCACATAGCTATCTAAGATCCCTATTTAGGCGTCTCATACACATCTTAAATTTAAATCCAAAACAGAACTCTTCTCCCACCACCTTTTAAACCTGTCCTTCCAGCAGTATCCCCATGTCAGTAACAGGCACTCTACCCAGCTCTTGGGAGAATCTGATCATTAGCACCAGTCTCTCCTGGACTCCTACACCGAATCCATCACTAAGTCCTACCTCCAATATATGGTACCTTTGGTTCACCTCTCTCAACCTCCATGGCCACCCCCCAAATCACAGCACCATCATCTCTCACCTTTATGCTTCAAATAACTCTATATCAAGTTTTCCCTCCCTCAATGTCTATTCAGCAGCCAAAGTGTTCTTTTTGAAATGGAAAAAAACCTGATGATGTTTTCCCCTTGCTTGAAAACCTTAGTGACTTGGAATAAAACATTCACATAACCTCCTAGAGCCTTGCATTACTTGGCATCTGCCTCCAGAAAGTCTCGCAGAACCAGCCTCATCTCATGACATTGCCCACTACCCCTACTGCTTAGCCCCTCCCTCCACCCCATCAAGGGCCATCTGCACTGGTTTTCCTTCAACTACTTAAACAATCCATGCTACCTCGAGCCTCAAGACTTTCTCTTGGCCTAGAATCCTTATCCTCACTGCTAGCGTTACTGATTCCTACTTATCTTTCACATTTCAGCTTTGAATGTCTGTTATTTAGAAAGATCCTCCCCGACCTCTCCATGTAGATAAAGCCCCCTCATGATTTCACACATAATCCTGTACTTTTCTTACTATAAAGGCCACAAGGACAAGGACTATGCCTATCTTGCTCAAAATTGATGCCTAGGGCTAAACACAGTGTATGATCTATAATGCGTGCCCAATAACTACCGAGCGAATAAATGAATGTCCTATTTCATCAAATCTAAGATACCATCAATGATAAAAGATGCATTCCTAATGTGAAAAAAACGTGCGTGGCAGATGTGAGTAAATACAGCATATCATTATTGTACACCTTGTTCTTAGCCACATCTCTGACTCTATTTTGTCTCTGCATTTTTTTCCTTCTCTTTTCTTCTACTTTTTAAACTTTTGTCTAAAAGAGAAAAATAAAAGAGATGTATAGCCTTTCTTGAATAAAGTAGAATTTAAAAAATAAAACAACTTATTTTAAAAACTCAGTTTAGTGTTAAAACCTCCAGAAAGCCTTCCTTGACCAGAAGGCTTAGGTAGGGGCTCCTGTTTGGACCTTCCATAATACCTGGTTTTTCTCTCTATTCACTTGCCACATTCCATTAGAATTATCTTCTCAAAGTCCTAGGTCTTTAACTAGACTGTGTCCTCCTTGAGGACAAGATCTATGATTGATAAATTGGCATAACCCCCTTCCTTGGCCCAGTGCTTAGCAGAGTAGATGCTCAAGAGATGTCTGTTGAGTGAGTGAATAGTTCAATGGATTAGTTTTTAGGAGCCACAGAGCTTCCATGGACTTGAAATGTGAAGGAAAGCTATGCTAAAACAGAAAGCCAGTCATGGCAGAAGCCAGAGAAGAGAACTGAACATAATTTAATTAGCTACCAAATACAAGCATGAGTGAAAAGCAATAATCCAGTCATCCATGCTTAAAAATACAAGCCTGGCTTGCCCAAAAGAAACAGCACTTCTCAATAGGAGGTTGCTTTAAGGATGATGAACAGAACATGCATAAACATGATGAGCCTGGAGGTTAGTAAAACATACTCATATTTACATCTGATGTGCTACCTATCTGTAGACTTTTGATCAACAGAATCCTTATAAAAACTATTTGAACAAAACCCACAATTTCTACTTTGTAGCATTAGTATTTTTAAATGCACATACAACAGGTTAAGCTAATAACATAAGGCTGCAGTGTTAATTTGATGTATTGAAGGCACAACTAGATGTACACTGAGTACCAAGGAGGCAGGTGACCCCAGAGTTACCCTAAAGGAAGAGGAGAACAAGAGAAGTGGTATTGGACCCAAGACAGCTGTTCACCATGCTTGCACCTTTATCATGTTAAGACAATTACTAGAGAACCAAGAAGCAGAAATAATTAGATATTGAGGTTATGGAACTCTGACTCAGCAATTGCCAAACTACTAGAAAGACCAAGAGTACACTCTTCTTTCCTTAATTGTGACAGCCCTAGATGCTAAATGGTATGACTGAATTGATAAAGATCATCTGAATTGGTTGGTTGGGAGTTCTCAATAGGAGTGAGAGGAATTGACAAGGACAATGGGGGAGCGGGGATTACAGAAAGATCAAGATCAACTGTCACTCTATTTTAGGTTGTAAAACTCTCATAGTTGACAAAACAAAGGGCATTTGTTCTGATCAAGAGTTACTCCAATTGTATATGTTGAG